TGCCCCAGGTCATCCAGCCAGGTCCAAGTGGAGGAGTGGGGAATCAAACCCGGTTCTCCCAGATTAGAGTCTGCGCACTTAACTAGTACCTCCAAGGTACTAGTAAACGTTTGCCACGGGCTGCCTCCAGACGCCCGTGGTGTGATTGCGCCGGTGCGCGGCATTCCCCTCCGGTCCCTTGTTTACCCGCCGGCGCCGAGGGAAGGACCCGTGGTATGCCGCCGGCGCGTCTGATCGCGTAATCGCGGATCAAACTGCGCCGGGGCAATTAGCCACACCTCCCCCCTGCGATATCCGGCCCGTATGACCGGGGCCTGAGACTCCTTTAGGTAGTGAAGGGCAGGGTATCGATCCAATCTCTTCTTCTTCTCCTCCTTTCTTCAAGTCAGTCTCTGCAGGTCTTCCTGGGTGGGCAGGAAATGCTTCTCATAATCGGAAAACGGCACCCGGGCGGGGCTGATTGTCTCTTGCGGGGCCGGTTCTGTGATCTTCAGGATTTCCATCTCCTCCGGCTGCTTGGTTGAGGTGGGCAGATGGGGAGTGTCCTGCAGGAAACAGGGCCCAGCGTTAGAGAAGCCCTAGAGATTTCCGGAAACGGGGCCCTCCCGCCGGGAGCACACATCGGCGGGCGCAAAATCGTCTTATACTGAACCAGACCCTTGTTCTATCAAAGTGGGTATTCTCTACTCAGACTGGCAGCAGCTCTCCAGGGCCTCAAGAACAGGGTCTTTCCCATCACCTCCTGCCTGATCCGACTGCTATAAAAAAGCCAACGCTATGCTGGGGATTTAAGGAAAGGAACTGAGAGAGTATCATAATGCCCCTGTATAAATCGATGGTGCGACCCCATTTGGAGTACTGTGTACAATTCTGGTCACCACACCTCAGGAAGGTTATTATAGCACTGGGAGAAGTGCAGAAAAGGGCGACTAGAATGATAAAAGGGTTGGAACACTTTCCCTATGAGGAAAGGTTAAAGTGCATGGGGCTCTTTAGCTTGGAGAAACGACGACTGAGGGGTGACATGATCGAGGTTTACAAGATTATGCATGGGAAAGAGCAGGTAGAGAAAGAAGTCCTTTTCTCCCTTTCTCACAAGACAAGAACTCCTTGTGGGCACTCCATGAAACTGCTGAGCTATTGGGTTAGAATGGATAAATTCACTGCCACAGGAGGTGGCGGCTGCTACAAGCATGGATGGCTTCAATAGAGAATTAGATAAGCATCTGGAGCAGAGGTTCATCAGTGGCTATTAGCAACAAGGTATAGATAGGAACTCTCAGGCTAGAGCAAGGGATGCTCTGTCTTCTTGGCGCTTGGGAAGTGGGGGGCAGCAGTGGGAGGGCTTCTAGTGTCCTGGCCCCACTGCTGGACCTCCTGAGGGCACCTGGTATTTCTGGCCACCATGTGACACAGAGTGTTGGACTGGAGGGGCCATTGGCCTGATCCAACATTGGCTTCTCTTACGTTCTTATGTTATCTGGAGACACCAGGGACTGAACCTGGGACCTTCTGCATGCCAAGCAGGGGCTCTGCCACTGAGCCAGCGTCTCAGGTCAAGGTCTTTCTCACCACCTCCTGCCTGGTCCTTTTCACTGGAGATGCCGGGGACTGAACCTGGGACCTTCTGCATGCCAAGCAGGGGCTCTGCCACTGAGCCAGCGTCTCAGGTCAAGGTCTTTCTCACCACCTCCTGCCTGGTCCTTTTCACTGGAGATGCTGGGGGATTGAGCCTGGGACCTTCTGCATGCCAAGCAGAGGCCCTGCCAGTGAGCCAGGGTCTCAAGTCAAAGTCTTTCCCATCCCCTCCTGCCTGGTCCTTTCAACTGGAGATCCTGGGGATTGAACCTGGGACCTCCTGGATGCCAAGCTCTGCCCCTGTGCCACAGCCCCTCCCCACACATGAAGCTGCCTTTTATTGAATCAGTCCCTTGATCCATCATTGTCCGTATTGCCTACTCAGACTGGCAGCTGCTCTCCAGGGTCTCAGGCGGACGTCTTTCCCATCACCTCCTGCCTTAATTGGAGGTGCCGGGGATTGAACCTAGGACCTTCTCCATGCCCAGCAGAGTATCTTTCACTGAGCCATGCTCTCCCCAAACAAGAATGAAGCTGCATTATGCTGAAGCAGACCCTTGGCCCACAAAAGTTAGTGTTTTCTACTCAGACTGGCAGCTGCTCTCCAGGGTCTCAGGCAGAGGTCTTTCACATCACCTACTACCTCATCCTTTTTAACTGGAGGTGCTGGGGATTGAACCTGGGACCTCCTGCATGCCAAGCAGATGCTCTGCCACTGAGCCACAGGCCGTCTTTACAGCTCTCCAGGGTCTCAGGTGGAGGACTTTCACATCACCTACTTTTTTTAAAATTGGAGATGCCGGGGATTGAACCTGGAGTTGGCAACCGTAGTGTGCATGCACTGTACAATCCTTTTGGGGAGGTTTGAGGTGGACGGGCTGTGCGGCTCAATGGCAGAGCATCTGCTTGGCATGCAAAAGGTCCTAGGTTCAATCCCCAGCATCTCCAGTTAAAAAAGACCAGGCAGGAGGTGATGGGAAAGACCTTGACCTGAGAGCCTGGCTCAGTGGCAGAGCCTCTGCTTGGCATGCAGAAGGTCCCAGGTTCAATCACCAGAATCTCCAGTAGAAAGGACCAGGCAGGAGGTGATGG